AAACGACATATAGTTGGGTGAGAAATTTTTTAAGTGCTGTCTTAGCTTCCGAGCTTAGCAGCCGGAAACTTTGAACATGATCACGCTCCTCGTTTCGGGAACGTCTATGCTCCCGATTCAGAAACATTTACGTTCAATAAAATAACACCTTAAATTCTCGTTTCACGTTTCCATTCCCTCGTGGGAACATGGCTGCTAACTTCCCAAGTCCGTATTTTATATACTTTCTATTCTATGTACTCCCTCTTCTTTTCAAATTATAATTTGTTTTGGCTTTTCAAGGTACAATAAATCTTGCTATGTATTGCTATGTACTTTGATATATGTTATGTTTGGATACACGACAAAACAACTTAGAATTTGAAAAGAGTACTTGTACAGGAGTAGTAGTGCACATGAACTCATGTTCGTTTGGTATTTTCCGTCCGCTTGGACCGCTTGTGAAGACACAATCTGTTCAATGCTCTTCCCTACCCAAAGATAAAATTCGATCTTCAGGTAAACTGTAAACACCACACACGTGATCAATCGTGATTCATGATCGTGACATTTGCAAACTCCCTTTTGCTACGTATATTTTTTTGAAAGTAACCTTTTGCTACGTATATCTACTCATCGTCCAAGCTTTGTCCACTGCACCAGCGAAATTTATACGAGTAGTACATCTCCAGAAGACCAGAAACCAAAAGAACATGTGCCATTAATTGTAAAGTGCACGGACGGTCTCCATTTATAATCTGTCTCATCCATCCGGACTCCCGCCCGTCCGTAAAGACACCACACCAACCCTCCTCTCGATCCAGGTACAGGGACGCCGCTACCCGCCGCTCTGCACCCACGCCACGCCACGCCATGCCGACGCTGGGCATCGCGCCGCTGCTGGACGCCTACTTCCGGCGCCGCTTCGCCGCGGCGGGCCTCGTCGAGGCCTCCGTCCCGCTGGACGGCGGCGCCACCACGGTCCACTGCTGGCGCTTCTCGCCGGGCGCCGCCGATGACGGCGAGGGCGACGCCCGCCCCGTCCTGGTGCTCCTGCACGGCTTCGGGCCCCCGGCGACGTGGCAGTGGCGGCGCCAGGTGGGCCCGCTCTCGCGCCGGTTCCGCCTCATCGTCCCGGACCTCCTCTTCTTCGGCGGCTCGTCCACCACGTCGGCGCCCGGCGCCGGGCGGGTCTCCGAGGCGCAGCAGGCGGAGGCGGTGGCGAAGCTCGTGGCGGCCGTAGTGGCGCCGGCGCCGGGCACGCCGGTGCGCGTGTTCGTGGCCGGCACCAGCTACGGCGGGTTCGTGGCGTACCACGTGGCGCGGCTGCTGGGCCCCGCCGCGGTGGAGCGGGTGGTCATCGCCAGCTCCGACCTGCTCAAGGCTGCCAACGACGACCGCGCCCTGCTCCGCCGCAGCGGCGCCGAGCGCGTCGAGGACGTCATGCTGCCGCGCTCCCCGGAGCAGATGCGGCGGCTGCTGCAGCTCGCCTACCACCGCCCGCGCCGCTTCACGCCGGGCTTCGTGCTCCGCGACCTCGTCCAGGTAACCGCAAACTCCTCCTCGATCCATGCCTGAATTCCTACACTATACAACTCAAAGCACTGGATAGAAATAGAAGATGCGATCGTGCTTCCGGTCAAACAATAAGCTCGATCGTTCGCGTTCTCGTCGTGTCGCGTTGGGATCGAGTCCTTCCTTTAGGCAATCTGGCTCGCTGCTCGGTTGCATCGGAGTGTCGCATTCATGCATGGCCAGATGGCCGGGCCTCCACGTCACGTCGAGACGGTGCCAACTGCCATGCCACGTCGCCTGGCGATGACGTGACGCCAGGTTCCTCGTCTTCGGATCCTCGCTTCCCGGGTTTCCCAACTGCCACGCTGAATCGCTATCAACTCCCAGCAGCCGCGGCCTAGCTTCCGTTCGTTTCCCAACCGTTCCTGCGGTCGTGCCGCTCTTCCAATCAATCAATCAATCCTGGATGCCCGCTCTAGACACCCAGATCCTTCTAGAACTACTAGCAGAGTAGCAGTAAAGTACAGTACAGGTCAGTGACCAGTACAAGCGCGTCGTTGCATGCTTGCCTGCCTACCTGCATTCCAACAAACGACGACAGGCATCGCGGCCATCTTTTTCCCCGACCTCAGAGCGTCTAGACGTCCGTTCAGTAGGCCTTCCTTTGTTGACGTTGACGGCAAACTAGTGCTTGGCAAATGGGCAGACACAACCATTGTATTAGCTCGGCTGCCATATTTTGGTATGCTACCCCATCGTAGGCCTTGTTTAGTTCGCGGTTAGGAATCAGTATTTGATATTGTAGCACTTTCGTTTGTATTTGACAATTATTATCTAATCATGACCTAGCTAGGCTCAAAAGATTCGTCTCGTAATTTACAATCAAATTGTATTATTAGTTATTTTTTTTATCTACATTTAATACTCCATGCATGTGTTCAAAGATTTGATGTGATGAAGAGAGTGAAAAAAATTGGAATCTAAACAAGGCCGTAATTTCTTTGCAATTACAAGAACAGCCACTGCACATGTTCAGTATCAGTCTTGAAAAGGACCACGGTGCTGGCATTGTACAACAGCCGGTTCTGGATTCAATTGGAAGTTGGAACTTGAGAGTAGTCAACGTCAACAATGGAAGGCCTACTAAATCCAGGCCGTGGCTGAAGTTAGTAGTAGATTTCCTATTATAATGTCAATATACTCAATAAGTACTGAAGTGCAGTCTTATCTTTGGTTCTGGAGACTGAAACACAACACAGTATCCGTTACTTATTGATAGAAACTACCTCTGTGATCTCAGCATGATTGCATGACTACGACCTCTAGATTTGAGTAACAGTAAGACTCTGCTGCAGTATCTGTACAGCGACAAAGTAGAAGAGAAGAAGGAGCTAATCAAGGGGATAACACTGGGTAACAAAGACAAATTCCAGCTTACACCTCTCCCCCAGGTACTTCCTAAATACTTAGCAACAGCAACGCATTATTAGTTATTACCATTCCATATTTGATCTTCTTACCCAACATATGTCCAATCTTTCAGGAAGTCCTTGTGTTGTGGGGAGATCATGATCAGATATTCCCTGTCGAGAAAGCATTTGAAGTGGCAAGGTCAGTACATGCTGATCTCACCTTGTACAGTTTGATTTCACGTGTGGCATTTAAAACTTACGAAAGGAAAAATGCAAATGCAGGAAACTTGGAGCAAATGCTAGGTTGGAGGTCCTCAAGGACACTGGCCACATGCCTCAGGAAGAGGATCCAAAGCGGTTCAACGAGGCAATCCTGAACTTCTTGCTTCCAGCTCCAAAGTCCTCTTTGTAACGCGATATGAGTAATTCAGGCCCAAGGATCACCGGGAGAGTTCATAATTTAAGATGCATTCTGCCTGATTAATGCAGTTCTTTGTTGGTTTGGCATCACCTCCAAGGTTGATGAAATGGGAAAATATGTTATTGGATTGCTATTTATCTGTCAACAGTTTTCTTCCCCATTGAATGCTTGCATGTGTCGTTTCTTATGCTATTTAGCATGTTCCTGTTTGTGTTGTGATATCTGGAGGGTGAATGATTCGTGGGATCAAATCAATATATATTGCGCGACATTGGATGTGTGGGTGAAGGGAGCGGGCTTTAAGCAGCGTCGCGGTTGCAAAGGAGCAAAGGGCTGTTAGGGTTGAGGTGGGTCTCAAGAGCAGTTGCGCCCATGGCATTGGGGCATGTCGGGTCGTGCAATTAGACAGCGGCAGACGCGTGTCGATCGCTAGAGTGGGGAGCAAATGGGGTGGAGAGAAGGATCTGATCGTCAAGAAGTCGTGAAGTAAGACATCTCCGAAACCATGTATATACGTAGACACTGCATGTAGAAACTACGTTTTCAACGGATAGTTTCTACAGAATAATCTTTTGTCTAATCACACATCTTCTCTCTCGCTCATCTACCTATCATATCTCTTCGTGTCTTAATTTTTGTGTAGACATGGTTTTTATTAAGAAACAATTTTCTTCTCTCTCCTCAATAAATCGCTTGCCACGTCAGCAAAATGCTTAGGTGGCAGGATAATTAATACATATGAAAACTATGATAGTTTTTGTATTGTGAGTGCTCTTAGGTGCCTAGAACAAAGTTGTGCCTGTAGCATAGGTCGGTCATGGATTGGGCGGTGCGAAGGTGCGGGCCGGACGATGACGAATATGGTGGCGACGATGGCTGAGGGTGGGGTTATGGGCGGGCCGTCGGTGTCGCTAGGGTCAACTAAGGGGCGGCCATCGCCTTCTGACACGGCGTGAGTGACCAACCTTACATGAATTTCATTCATACGACTAAGTTCAATGCTCAAATCGTTCATAAAAAAAAGTTCAATTGCCAGGATTAGCGAGAAAATTTCATCATTCCAAAGAGGCCCGACTTTTGTACATGCATACTGTTATAAGCAGAGTGAAGTCAGCAAAAGTCGTCGTGCCTATGGCTCGCCCATACAATGATACAAACCACCTATCCGTCTCAAACTTTTGAGTGCCAACCACCGTGTTGTAATCATGCATTACACCGGCGCGCGCGTGCTGGTCTCACGCTCTCGGCGCGAGTCCAGTCCAGACCATGGGAAAAGCTCGCGCGCGCATCAGCACATGCACCATGAACCCCTTGTCGCTTATGCGCCACGCCCCATCAGCTCTGGGCTGGCCTGCGCCGGCCGCCACAGGGAACAGAACGACACGGGCTGACCCTTCCACCGGAGTCCCACCGCTGCCGCCGCGGACGACGACGGCGGCACCAGCTCCCACCCGCCATCGTACTTCCTCAGCAGCGCCTTCGCCGTCTCCACCGCCTCGCCCCCGAACGCCGCTTCCTCGAACCCCGCCGCGGCCAAACGCGCCCGCCATGACTCCCTCCCCCCGCCCACGGCCGCTCCCCGCCGCGCCGTGGGCGCCAATGCTGTCCCGGCCTCCGCTTCCATCACCCGCCTCTCATCCGCATCCATCCCCTTGAACGCCGCCGCCGTCGAGTCAAGGAATCTCCAAAGCAGCTCCAGCCTCGCCGCGAACTCGCTGGCTGCCGCCGCCGTCCAGCTCAGTGAGGACCATTAGCTCCGGGTTGAGGTCCCTGACCGTTCGGAGTATAGCTGCCTGCTCGTCGGCTGTGGCGAGGCCGAGTCGGAACTGGAGGCAGACGATGAGGGTCTCGCCGGGGGTGAGAGTGCCGTGCAAGGTGTCCAAACATGGCGCTTGGACGATGCCGAGGTCTAGGTCGATGGACTTGGCGTACCGGAGCAGCTGCGGTGAGCAGTCGTAGCCTGGAGGTGATGCGGAGAAGGGCACGGGTGGTGTGGCCGTGGGGCCGGCGACCGTGAGGCGGACGGAGGGCGGCGTGGAGCCCCGCGGCACGCGGGTGAGCGCCTCGAGCAGCGTTGGCCATTGGACGCCGTGCGAGACACCGATGTCCACGACGTGAACCTGGCGGGGCTCTGTCACCGCACCCTTCGTCGACGCGGCCTGCGCGATCGCGGAGTTGGCGAGCGCGTTCGGCACGGAAAACCATGGGCTGACCTCGTTAAACCTGATGAGCGAGGCTCGGAACAGGCGCGGGTCGACGCCGGAGAACACCGGCGTCGGGCACTCGCAAGATGGCATCTTCACGGTCGCCGCAGCCGCTTGGCCCACGGCGTGCGGGAGGCGTCGCATGAGGGCGCGCAGCCCGTGCGCTGCCAGGCGGTGGTTGGGTTCGCCGGAGAAGGAGGCCAGCTCACCGAGCACGTACAGCAGGTGCTGCGTGCGCGGGAGGTTGCCCGCTTCGATGGCGGCCGCGCACGGGTTCAACAGCTGCTCCGCCCACCTCGCCTCCCTGTCCGAATTTGCTGCGGTGCCCTTGCCACTCCCCTTCTTGATCGGCTTCGACCTGACGCAGCTCGCTTCCCCCTTTTCTTGCTGACAGCCGCCTCTTCCGCCGCCGCCAACATGGGGTCGTTGGCTGCTGCTGTGTCCAGGAGACTTGCGTTTCTTGGGCTGCCCAAGCTCCTGCTGCGAGGTCATCGGTGCCGACGACGCAACGCTAGTATCAAGGTTCAGGCTTGGATGGTGCAGGGTTGTAGCAGTAGATGGTAGCGTCTCCACGATCATGCTGCCGACGTCGTGCTGCTCCTGTGCTTCCGATGCCGACAGCCAGCCATAGTCGTTAAAGCCGAGGTAGGAAGGCGATGGACTCGTCGAGCCAATCTGAGGTCGTGGCGGCTGCCGGTTCTTGGTCTTCTCTCTCGTTGTTCATGGCGATTATCCCTGAGCTCTCAAGCTTATCTGTGGTTCTGGGTCATGCAAGGGCTTGGTGACGTTGGCATCTCTGTACTGAAACTCTGAAGGGCTAACAAGAAGTATATACTAACTTCCTAGCAGTGTAGTGTAGAATTGAGGCGTTCCCTGCATTTTTATACCACTACCACCTCTTATTCTGATGGTAGCAGAGTGAGAGTGACAGCTTGACAGTGAATGCTTCTAGTTATATGTCCATCTCACTAGTTCCTTGGAGCCACCCTACTAGGAATTCTCACACCAGTGGTCCATGATGCAGGCGTTGTGTTGTGGGACACTAATCTCACATAGTGGCATTGCTGTCTTCAGCAAGCAGCATTTTTCTCTCTATTTTTTTTTTCTCAAATACACAGGCGAGCTGCGTATCATTTCATTAAGAAGAGTAGTTGTAAAATACAACACACACACCACCCACACACCCCTTAACTTTTTTCTCTCTAATTTCTTAAAGGCAGGTAGCTTAGGCTCAAATCTGAATCTATCTTTTTTTCTTGGAATGAAACTAAAATCCAATCTGTTCCCTAAAAAAAAAAACTAAAATTCAATCCAGCCTATAAGGACTCGACAATTGCTCAGGTATGGAAAATTATTTTACTACTTTAGTTGATCATCCTTTGTATTCATGTACCAAAGGCATGCACATCAAGGGAATAATGCAGTTTGAGCCTTGATCAGTAGCAAACAAAAGTTTGCAGTTTTACAAAAAGGAATTATTCCCAATCAAGGGAAGGATCGTGAGATCAACTAGTCCTATAAAAAAACCAGAAACTAGTAGACTTAGTCATAGTTGTTTGAGATTTAATGATTGTAGGCAGCCAAATTACAACGGCAAGACAGAAGTTGCTTTCTTCCACAGTTTCACAGTTTATTCAGACTCTTACTCTCGTTGTGAGAACTGAGAAGATAGTGACAGTAACGTGCTTACCAAAGAGCAAACACTACGAATGGTAGTGTGTCATTTATATTGCCGTGTGTAATTGGAATGCCTTACTGCAAGCCACCAGCTTTCTATGATCCTATCCTACACTCTGAAACACTAGATACTACTGCTCGAGACAAGTTTTGATGCCACACCTGTTACTAAAAGACAGTTTCTTTAGTTGTATTTAAGTAGTAATAGACGGATTGGCTTACTGACATCGATCAGCTGTCCTTGTCGAGTGCAATCAATGCTACAATACCATTTTTTATATAATGATGCCACATTAACAAATAGCACAGTGTTACATACCCATCGTAGGTTCTTAGTATAACATTTCAAGAACTTCAATCTTCCGGAACCTTCAGTGGTTTCTCTTATTCAATTGCTACAAGTTGCCAAGATGTTGGCCTATCGAACTCCACCCCAGTGCAGTTTTACTCGGCCAATTGGTACCAAAGCTGATGCCTAGCGATCCACCATGCTTATGGTGTAAACAAAAAGAAGCAAATTGGAAGTAAACTTACACAAGAAACATCGCAGTGCTATTCCTCATTTATTTGGTGCTTAAATCAGCAAATTGGATGGTCATATGGCACCACATGCGTTCCTCATTTTATCATTTATACGTATCACTTCAATCAAGAGGGGCAAAACAGGCTCAGTTTAAACACAAGAAAAAATTTCAAATTCTTCCCCAGACCCCGCACAGAGCGAGAGCTCTTTGCACTGGGTACGCCCTTATTATTGTTAATTGTTATGATACCACAAGTCCACAACTGTTCAGAAAAATAAAATATTGAAAATCCATGTGAAGTTTCTGGATCTCAAATGTTGCAATTCCATTCCAAACATGACGTGTCATACAAGATCAATTGGGCTCTATTTTCACGTGCGGTGTCGCTATAGTAATGTGTGAGCTCTGGCATGTAAAGGCAGCCTAACCAACACTATTACTAATCTCCAAGAGTTCCCTAAACCTCCTTCTAATCTTTGGTTTTAGAAAGGAGAAAAAACCCTCTCCAACAACTTCTAATCTTAACTCCTAAAATTTACGCACTTCGAAAAAACTGAGCCAATCCGAGTAACTTTATGCACTCCTCCGCCTCCGCGCATCCTTCTCTCCGTGATTTAGCGTGGCTTCCCTCCCTTCGCGCCCCTTCTATTGCCGCCTTTCTCTCCCTTCGCGCCCTCCATCGCCAAGCAGAGAGATCGCTCTCGCGCCCTTTCTATTGCCACACCTTCTCTCCCTTCGCGCGCCCCTCCATCGCCAGCAGAGAGATCGCTCCTCGCGCCCCTTCTATTGCCGCGCCTTCTCTCCCTTCGCGCGCCCCTCCATCGCCAGCAGAGAGATCACTCCTCCATCGCCGCACCAGAGAGATTGGTCCTCCAGCTCCTCGATCGCCACCACCGTAGAAGAGGCACATACTCCGATCAAACCGTTTTGCCATGGGGTTTCTGCGCCGCCGCCATATGGCTTCGTGCGCTTACCTGCGTCGCCGCTAGGTTTTGCCGTGTCTAGGTTTGGCTGCTATGTTTGTTGCCAATGGTCACGCCTGTGGCGCGTGTCGCGCGGTGCTATCTCGGTGCCCGCCATGTAGCTATCGATGGTGTCGCGCGATGCTATCCTCGGCCGCTATGTTTGATCGGTGCTATCCTCGGTGCTCGTGATAGTCTGCCGATGGCCGGAGACCGATCGAGATAGAGCATAGTCAGCAATTTAGCGTGGCAAAGAAGACTAGCTAAGTAGCCACCATCTGCCGTTGGCCTCGTCTGTTAGGATCGTGGGATTGGTACCTCTGTGTGACCCGTGAGATCGGGTAGACTCTCGCCTTCTCTCGGAGATGCACCGTAGCGGGTAGACGCCGGTGCCGTAGTGTAGAAGACGCCCAGTAGCGGTGGCGGTGAAGTCCAAGGCGGCTGGTGGAGAGACAATGGTCCGGGTGACCCCGCAGTGGGGACGACGACGGTGGTTGGGGCTCATCCTGTCGCTGGCAAAGACGGGCCTTTAGATCGGATTAGGGTTACTGTAGGTGGGATGGCGGCTCACGGCGAACCTCGTAGTCCGAGCCCTCACCCTTATCTTCCTTTTATGTGTGCTATGCGACAGGGGCCCACCAACCGGATTAGGGTTGGGCTCCCCCGATCAGGGAGCAGAGATAAGGGTCCAATAGGCCGTTGGGCCTATTGGTGGAGATCAACTAACATTCTCCCCCTTGATCTCATTCCATCTTTCACTTTTATATCATTTACTTTTGTTCATTCAATTACAGATTAGCTCATAGAGCATGTCTCATCGTCACGGTCCATTGCCGATAGACTTAATGCCTACAACTCACTACTCTGCTCAAATAGATACTTATCTTTGGGCCTTCTTTTGTCCAGGAATATTTTAGGCTTTCCCTTAAACGCAAGCTAGCTACATGTTCTCTGAACACCATGTCCTCTGAACATGTTGGGTGGTAAGCCTTTTGTAAGCGGATCCGTGAGCATCCTTTCTGTTCTTATATGCTCAAGACTTATGACTTGATCCCGGACTTTATCTTTCACAACATAATACTCTATGTCAATGTGTTTGGCAGCACCACTTGACTTATGTTGTGAGCATCCTATACTGCCAGATTATAATCGCAGTATAATTTTAGTGGTCTATAGATGTCGTCAACCACCTTCAAACCGGGTATGAACTTCGTTAGTTAGTTCACCTGCCCGTTGCCTCATAACACACTACAAACTGTCATACATTGTGGACGATGTAGTGACAGTTTACTTTGAGCTTTTCTATGAAATAGCTCTCCTTTGCGAGATGATAGAAAATCCACGTCTGGATATGCATTCACTCTCGCATAATCAGAATCTGAATATCCCACTATGTGGAGTGAATCAGATCTTCTATATGTCATCATGAGGCCTTTCGTTCCTTGCAAATAATGCAAGACTTTGTTTTACTAATTTCAGTGTTCTATTCCAAAATTGCTCTGGAATCTGCCAAGTAAAACCCGGTAACAAATGCCAAGTCAGGGCGTGTACATACTTGAGCATATTGCAAGCTTCCGACAACTGAAGCATATGGAACCACTTTCACTTTATCAATTGAGCTCATATTGGTTCCTGGGGCATTGAAAATCCCCATATCTGTCGCCCTTGACTATATGAGCAGGTGAGGGACTACACTTGTGCATACTGAATTTCTTTAAGATCTTTTCCATGTATGTCTTTTGTGACAGTCATTATACCCTTTTCTTCTATCTCGGTGAATCTCGATCCCTAGAACGAACGAGGCTTCGTCAAGATCTTTCATATCAAGTTTTGGGGACAAAACTTCTTTATCTCCTATAGTAGACTGACATCACTACTAGTAAGTAAGATATCATCTACATACAGGACAAGGAAGATAAACTTCCCATTCTTAAACTTTGCATAGACACAATTGTCCTCTACATTCTTTTTTAAAACCCAAAATTCTTTATTGACCGATCAAACTTCAAGTACCACTGTCTTGAAGCTTGGTTTAATCCATAAATGGATTTCTTTAAACGGTATCCCATTCGTTCTTTTCCTTCCATGACAAAACTTTTCGATTTTGCCATGTAAACATTTTCCTCCAAGTCTCTGTTGAGAAATACCGTCTTTACATCCATATGATGTAATTCTTAATCGTAATGTACCACTAATGCCATTATGATTCTGAAGAAAACTTTACATGAGACTGGAGAAAAGGTCTCATTGTAATCAATCTCTTCTCTTTGCATAAAGCCTTTTGCCACAAGTCACACTTTATGTCTCTATATTCCCTTGAGAGTCATGTTTAGTCTTGTAGACCCATTTATAGCCTACTGTTTTGAGTCTTTTAGGAATCATTTCCAAATCTCAAACTTTATTGACATTCATCGATTTCATTTCATCTTCCATTTGGAATTCCTTAGTGTTATACACTTCATAATCAAAGAAATAGCTGATTTTCTAACTCTTTGAGACCTACTAGGGCCCTTCACATTTGGCACATCTTCTATTTGAGGTCATTGTTGTTGCTCCCCTCATGTGTGGCAATAGGTTCTATAGAATCTCAAGAACAGGTTCCTCATCGTCATTCATTGTTGCCACAGTGTGGGATAACAACAGTCTTGGCACCACAAAGATCTAGCACCTGCTTGGTGCCAACACAGCAGGTAGTGAGAAAAATGGCTCATGAATCATTGGAGTGGGTGCATACACCCGCTTCACTTCAAGGACAATTTCTCGAGCTACCATGCCCCCCTCATCTTTTCGTCCTCTAGGAAGACAGCGTGTCTCGTTTTCACAAACTTTGTATGTCACTGTGGATAGTAGAAACGAAAACCTTTTGACTTTTCTTTGTAGCCAATGAAATGGCAACTTACTATTTTGGGATCTAGTTTTCCAATGTTTGGGTTAAATACTTTAGCCTCAAGTAGGGCTCCCCACACACTCAAGTGTTTAGTGAGGGTACTCTTTCTCATCTACAACTCATACGGTGTTTTGGGCACCGACTTTCTTGATACTTTATTGAGAATATGAATGGCCGCTTTTCAACGCCTCCATTCACAGTGCTCAACTGTATGGTGGAGTAACTTATCATACGCCCACCATATCCATCAGGTACGATTGATTCTTTTAGCTACTCTATTCTGCATTGAGGTTTGCCCTAGATAGAATACCGGGCTACTATACCATTCTTTTTAGGTATGCTGACCGTAGTACTCCTCCACCACGCGACTCGACTATCTTAATCTTTAATATCTTAAATTTATCCAATACATCTTTTCTTTCTTTGATTAGATAAATATAGCCATAATGGGAGTACTCATATGTGAATGTTATGAACGAATCATTACCATCCACACTCTTTTGCTGTAAAAAAACCCACCACGTATGTCCTGTGTGAATAATCTATAAAACTCCCGCACTTCATTTGGCATCTTTCTTAATCTTCTTTACATACTTTCCTTTTATGCATTCTTTGCATTGTTCTAAATCTGAGAGCTCTAATGGAGGAAGAATATCATTCTTAACTTATCTTTCTATTCTCCCCCTCGAAATATGGCCTAAACGACAGTGCCATAATTTCGATAACACATCGTGAGCTCTCTTATGCCACCATTTCCAGAGTAACACTCTGTGACCAACTGCTTTATCAGCTAAGTGGCATATGTCTTTGAAGAGCCAGTGAACTGACTCTTTATTCTATCGAGGTATTCGGTGATCGTGTCACATTCTAGGATTGAGCCCACAATTACAGGTTCAATCATGTTCTTTATCACCGCCAAACATTTCTTGTTTGCAGTGACCCACTTCCTATGCTCAAAAGCCATAGGATATCTTTTGGGATTCAAAATCCCTTTCTTTAGTTGTTCAAGTGGCATCATTCACTTTTGTCTCCCTCATCGGTGTCACAATCTCAGTGGAACACGGTGAGGTGACTACCCAGTCCACCTTAGACAAGATGAAAATCAGGTCAAAACTTTTCTTAACATAAAATAACACCATTTGCATGCCTTGATTCCAACGTTGGTCAAAATCAAAACATACAACTATTCTTATACACTAATTGTACATCACCATAAGCGTAAATAGAATTAATGCATAAATCATTAACTTTCACATTCTGTTTCTTACACACTAATTCTATATCACCGCTTGGATGTAAATAGAATTAATGCATAAATCATTAACTTTTACAACTGTTCTCATACACTAATTTTACATCACCGTTGGGCAGAAGTAGAATTAATGTATAAATCATTAAAATTATCAACTTTTCTTATACACTAATTCTACATCACCGTTAGGCAGAAGTAGAATTAATGCATAAATCATTAAAATTATCAACTTTTCTTATACACTAATTCTACATCACCGTTGGGCAGAAGTAGAATTAATGCATAAATCATTATAATTATGATATTGTTATTAACAACGTTGGTAAGAAAATAACAACATCATAATCATATCAAAACTCTTTTTCTCCAATTAAATACCACATTGGTTCAAAATAACTGGAGAATCAACAACTTTTCTTTGGCTGTGGAAAAACTCTCTTTTCCTTGAATTTTACCCACAGGGAAAATTGCTTTTTCTATTTTCTTTAATCCATTAATCAATTTCCAGGAAATAAAGATTTACTGGAAAAACTTTTCTTTTCTCTAGTTAAATATCATGTCTGTTCAAAATTATTGGAGAATATACTTTTTCTTTAGCAGCGAAAAAAATCTCTTTTTTTCTCCAATTAAATACCACGTTGGTACAAATTAACTGGAGAATAAACATTTTCTCTTTAGCAGCGGAAAATAATTCAATTTAATGAATTTTGCCGACAGGACAAATCTCTTTTCTATTTTCTTTAAGCCATTTATTCATTTTCCAGGAAATAAATGTTTGCTGGAAAAAGAAAAAACAAAACCTAATCATTTCAATTGCTTCACTCACTCACCACTAAAAGCGGCCCGCCCACTCCAAAGACGCTGCATACAGATCCCGCTGCCCCATCCAGCCGCAACTCCGGCTCGGGCGGAAAAAGTGGCCTGACGCTTCGCGCCGCTTAGGCTGAGTTTGGCCCAATCATATTCCGCCGTCGAGATCACATCCGACAATCGCTCAATTGCTTTCGCCGGATAAAACCCCGACGCCACCTGGAAAACCCTAGGTCATTTTCATTCTCTACTCTCTCTCTCTCTTCTTCGCCGCTCTCTCTCTCTCTACCTCATCTCTTCTCACCGAGCACAACCGAAAGCAAGCGAGACCGAGCGAAGCGTTTGATGGCACCACCGCCTGCCGCCCCTCCGTCGTCGCAAGCTTCCCTCAATGGGTGAGCTGCCATCCGTCGAGCGGCCTGGCCACAGATGACCCCTTTGCCGAGCCCGTGAAATAGCCCGCCTCACTTTCGGTCTTCTTCTCCCTCGCCGGGTGATTAGGGTTTGGATTCTTCTTTTCTTTTCTCTCGATTTGCTTTTGTGATCTTTCTTACTTTTTTCAGAGTTCATCCGAATAGATCTAGGGTTAGGTTCCGCCCCCGACCCTCGCTTCTTCTTCTTTCTTTTCTGCTTTTCCTTTCTTTCTTCTCGGATTGAACCGATTAATGATGGGGATTCGCTCTAGGGTTAGGGTTTCGCTTTTCAATTGATTTCTTTTTCTTTTCTTTGATTTAGGGTTCGCTCTGCTTCATCTTAAGGCGAAACCTTTTCTTTTCTTCTTCCCCGAGCTATTTGTGCGGGTTAGGGTTAGGTTCTTGAGATCCTTTCCTTTCTCTCTCATCGTTGTTTCACCCGATTAGGGTTAGGGTTGGGATTCTTAAGATCCTTTTCCCTTTCTATTCTCTCGATCCGAATAAGGATCTGTTTTTTTCTTGTTGCGCCGCCCGGAGGACGGCAATGCTTTCTTCCTCAGCTGTGGCGGTGGTGACCGGGTTCCAAAGACATCCGCCACCCCGGTCCCCTTTCTTTGCTTTTACCCGTTAGGGTTAGGGTTACACAAAGGCAACCGCTCTGTACCATTGTTAGGATCATAGGATTGGTACTCTCAGGTGACCCAGAGATCCGGGTAGACTCTCGCCTTCTCTCTGGAGATGCACCAGTAGCGGGTAGACGCCGGTGCCGCAGATGTAGAAGACGTCCGGCCAAGGTGGCGGTGAAGTCCAAAGTGGCGCCGGTGGAGAGACAACGGTCCGGTGGTGACCTGCAGCAGGGTCGACGGCGGTGGTTGGGGCTCATCCTGTCACTGGCAAAGACGGCTTTAGATCGGATTAGGGTTATCAGAGGGGTGGGATGGCGGCTCACGGCGAACCTCGTAGTCCGAGCCCTCACCCCCACCTTCATTTTATGTGTGCTGTGCGACAGGGGCCCACCAACCAGATTAGGGTTGGGCTCTCCCGATCAGGGAGCAGAGATAAGGGTCCAATAGGCCGTTGGGCCTATTGGTGGAGATCAACTAACAACGTCCTCATCTTCCTCCTCCACCTGTCCTATTTTCATTAGCAAGCATTTTTATCTTGTGATTATGTGTACATGTGTTCTGTGGCCGGCTGCATGGCACTGTGCCTGCTTGGCTGGTCTGCAATCAGCAAGCATTTTTATATGTGTTCTGTGTTGATGGCTTTGCAATCAGCAGTCATGTCAAAATTCAGCTACTGTTCCTCGTCCTGATTGCTACCTGCTGTTGCCGCCGATGCTTACCTGCTGATGCCTACCTGCTGACGCCGCCTGATGCCTGCAGATAGCCCTGCATTTTGCATATGTGTTCGTATATACACAAGTGAGACCAACATATATGATTTTTTTAGAAGTTAAATATTAGGAATTATTGGAGATGACCTTTTTTATTTTTTCTAAAACATTTTTAGGAGTTGTGAAACGTGGACTTTTTAGAAGAAATATTTAGGAAACTCTTGGATATACTCTTAGCCTACCCTAACCTGTTTATGACTTAAAACTTTGTTGTTGTTGTTGTTGTTGTTGTTGTTGTTGTTGTTGTTGTTGTTGTTGTTGTTGTTGTTGTTGTTGTTGTTGTTGTTGTTGTTGTTGTTGTTGTTGTTGTTGTTGTTGTTGTTGTTGTTGTTGTTGGATATGCTCTAATGCAGCTTCGATCAACATGCCTCACAGCATAAATACAGGGGCTCCGAACAACTGAAGGCACCTGCCCAAGAGCTCAATCCCCCTCCACCACCTCCCCCACCCATACCTCCCCCAGGACGGACCTCCGCTCCTACGCGAAAGCGGTCCGTGGTTCGGAGCCCATGGCGGCGGCTAGGTACCCGGGCGACCCCCGTGCTAGGCCGGACCGCAGCTACTGCGCGGTGACGGCGACCGGCTCCATCAGGCGCCGCCGCGAGGACCTCATCAACAAGGCCGTCGTCTGCTGGCTGTACTCCAACAGCCATGACACGGAAGCCCACCATCTCGGCGACGCCATCCGCGGCAGGCTGCATCTTCGCCACGAGGACATCCAGATCGTGAAGCACTACCCCGAGCAGTTCCTGATCATCTTCTTCGAGCCGGCGAACAGGGAGCAGCTGCTGGACCGGGGCGTCATCTCTGAGGGGGGGCGCGACTTCCACTTCGCCCCCTGGAGCGAGCGCCGCAACGCCGTCAACACCAACTGGGAGTTCCGCGTCAAGGTGCGCATTGAGGGCATCCCAGTGCATTGCTGGGCTGAGGATGTCGCAGCGCGAACACTGGGACGAAGCTGCGCTGTGCACTTCCTGGAGGAGAAGACATGCCGCCGCGAGCGCACCAGGACATCCGATCTGTGGGCGTGGTGCTGCAACCCCTACGACATCCCCAAGGAGGTCCTCCTCACCGTCACCGAGCCTGACAGGGAGCTTCCACCGACTTCGATCCCGCTCCTCCAGGCGCCACCACGCCACGACAAGCCTGTCGACCTCAAGCGTGCCCACGTCTACACCTTGCGCAACCATCTGGAGTGGGTGGAGGATCTGACCATTTTGCAGGGACGCGGCAGGGCGGGTGGCCCTATGAACCGCAAGCCGCGCAGGGAACTTGTCTGGAGCTATGGCGTCCCTGACTCAGTTGGCGAGCGTCCCCCGGGCAGACGGGGCGATGATCGTGGCCGAGGCTTTGGGCACCATCAGAGGAGAGACGACTACGACTACGACTACGACCACGGCAGCCGCAACTATGGCATCCGCCGCCACCGCAGCGTCTCCAGCTGGGCCAGGAACTCGCGCTGCAGGGGCGCAATGGACGACTGCATCAGCTCCAACAGGTGGCGTGGGGGGAGGGGCTCCCCGCCAACTCGAGGCAGGGGCTCCACAACGCTCTGCCAGGCTCCAACCATGGTGTGGAAGGTGAAGGCAACCAAGGACAGGTCGAAGCAAAAGAAGGCGTCCTTCGCCGACCCAATAGCAACTGAACTCAAGGCTCCCAGACCCACCCTGCGCGACGACAGCATTATGCTCATCAAGGAGAAGGAGGCCAGCAAGGAGCCTGAGCAAGGGGGCACAGCCAACGTAACCAACAACACCGTCAACCCTCTCACCATTGAGCAGCTTGCTATCTGCTCTTCAGTCGATAAAGTGGTGCAGGCAGGACCATCACTCAATGTTTACTCTTATCTTGCAGAGAAAGAGGTCAGCAAGGAGCCTGAGCAGGGGGGGGCACAGCCACTGTCATCAACAACACCGTTAACCTCCTCACGATGGCCGGGATGGGCGAGGATGTGCAGCAGGCTATTATCGAGACACTCAAGCTGATGGAGAGGGAGCTCATTCTGCCATGCAACAATCTGGTGAGCAACACCCAACAGTCCCATCTTTCACTTGAGGTTCCTGATACACCAGTAGTAGATCAGGGTGAAAATTTAGAACATACTGGGGAGGAACAGCCAGTAGAAGCATCAGGGCAGCTTGAACCCTAGGCCAATGAGGCAACCTACCTTAGCTCTAGAGATGTAGAGTTCCTACAACCTGTTCCCTCAGTGATGATTCAGCATCACTACCCAACCCCAGTAGTGACCCAACATCACATAACATGACAGTGGACGATTTCTTAGAGTCCCTGGAGGCCCCTATACAACAATCAATCATACAAGAGGTTTTTCAAATGCCACACACTGAGGAGGGGCATTTTGACCCTTCACACACATCAACTCAGAGAAAAAGCATTAGGTTGGCAAAAAAGGAAGAACTAAATGTAGGCAAGGACACTATTCAAGTGGCGCAAGATTTATTAGTCAAGAAGCTAGGAGAATTAGCAGGAGAGACTCCTAATGAAGAAGAAGCTGACTTTGATTTCTATGCGCAGCACTTCCAGAGGCCGATTGAGCAGAACAAGATGGAGGCCATCCAGATCCTGATCGAGCAGGGTAACAAGAAAAGGAAGGCGAGCACCACCAGCAAGAGGATGGCTGCTCAGGTGGTGCTGGAAGCCTAGATGGGCCTCCAGCACAAGTAGCCACAATCATCCATGTTAGTTCCTCCATGTAATGGGGGTAGGGCGGAATGCCCATTGTATCGTAGTGCCCAAAGTGGCGGTAAGGGGGGCGGTCAGGCCCGAGTTAGTAGTTGATCTGAAGATCAGACTTGTTGATGAGTCATGGATTGGCACCTGCTGGCCGTGCAGCCTTCGGTGCGTTGTTTGTATTCGTGAGACATGGATCGGATCCGGCCTGCTGGCTCTGTTGCCTTCGGCGATGTCCAGTTATGGACTATTGGTTGAACTCTTATGGCTGTGCATGACCCATTCCAGCAATTGTTCTCTCATGTATGCAAGATATCATCTATTACCTGAGATTTGGCACACGGTAGTGAATTCGGTTATCTATGTCTAACAAAAACTGTAATATTATCTGTTGGAATGTCAGAGGCTTAAACGATGGAGCTAAAAGGGCAAGCGTAAGAAATAAAATCATCTCATCGGGGGCCACTGTGGTTTGCCTACAGGAAACGAAAATTGCAAACTGGACACACACTCTGATTGCTGAGACAGTAGGGGGCGATTTGGCACAAAACGTGGTATTCTTACCATCGTCTGGGGCATCTGGAGGGATACTGATGGCTGCATCAGAACGTTTCTTCAAGCTAGGGAACCCCCACCTGACGCCAAATTCAGTGTCGGCAACTCTCACAATATTGGCAGATAATAAAGAGTGGTCACTCACAGGAGTCTATGGGCCACAATCAGACAACGATAAGATGCTGTTCATGCAGGAAATCACAAACCTGAAACAACTCATGTTTTTTTTTCTTTTTTTTCTCGAATACGCACGAGTGTGCATATCATTGTATTAGAAGAAAGAGTTTATAATACAAGAGTTGCATTCCCGGCCGTTAGTTAGTTTTTCTACGGACGCTACATTATGGAAAAAACAACAACCGTAATCCATGTCTATCCTGACAAGGACCTAGCCTCGCGCTTAGCGCACGTAGCCCGCTTGTTCGGCCTGAATCCATCGGTCGGCTTCGTTCTTGATGATGTGCGAGGGTCGCCGACGGACGGCGATGTCGATTCCGGAAACATCTTGCGCCCGCTCCTTCCATAATTGCCGTGAGACGAGGGCGAAGAGGGAGTCCATACCGTTTCGCCGATCGCCGGTGAACACTGACCGCAATCGGCGCCACCAGGAGAGCGTCGTTTGGGAGACTGGTGGAACTTGCTGCCCAAGCGCTTGCAGGACATAGTACCATACCTCACGGGTGAACGGGCATACTGCAATGATGTGGTATATTGTTTCCTCCTTGGTCACGAGAGGTAGCATAACTCATGTGCCTCGAGACCGTGTCTCGCCTCTTCCGTCGCCGGTCCGGTGGTTTTCTTTTCATGGCAAGCCAAATAAAGATCTTGATGCGGCGCGGAGCCCACGCTTTTCGAGATCAATGTATGGCTCGACATTCGATGGATCCGCCGCATCATGTCGTATGCCGATTTGGCTGTAGCATCCGTCGTCGTCCCAAATACCAAATGGTCCTGTCGAGCTCATTGCCAAGATTGATGTCCCCAACGCTTGCCCGGAGATGTAGGTAATCCGTGAGCTCGAGCAATCGAGAGGCCTCCACTTATGCAAATGCACCCATGTGCCGCCATGGAGGCCTTTGTCCGACCGTTAGTAAAAGCGCCGCACCGCCGTGAAATTCTCTCGGTGCGGTATGGGGCGATAGTGGCGACGCCCTCCCCGTCAATCCACCGGTCTTCCCGAACAAAGCGTTTACCCTGTCGCTTAGCCCGGTGAAGGTTGACGCTCAAGAAGGCTTGACCTCCTTGGAGGTATGGATCGGCAATGGTTCCACGCCCGATCTTGATCGGTTCTCTGCAGCCACAGCCCAGCCGGTGCGTTTGTAGGGCGAAACCGGCTAGCTTCAGATCGCGATCCCAAGTCCACCGAGCTCCTTCGACTGCAAAGCAGCTTTCCGTGCAACCATGCACTTTCCTCCGATCGACCGGTCCTTCCCGGCCCAAAAGAATCGCCTGCAGATGCCGTCGATCTCTTTCCTTGCCCAAGTGGGAAGATTTTCTGCCATCATGGCGTAGATGGGAACCGCCCGTAGGACCGACTTTACCCATACCAACCTTCCACTTCTCGCCATTAGCGAACCGTGGCTCGGTGGTAGCTTCTGTCGACGCCTTTGTACTAGTGACCGGTAGTGTGCTTTGGGGATTGATTTGGTACTTGAGCGGCAGCCCCGGAGATACTTGATTGGAAATGTCTCGCACTTGATGTACCAAGGATGGACACAATTTCCGCGTAACGTCGTCAGCCTCCGTAGATGGCGTGGATCGAGCACTTGGCTAGGTTTGTGTGCAGCCCTATTGTCTGTCTGAAAATGCTTAATCTCTTTTGACCGCCCTTTGCCTCCTGGATAGATGGTCGTACAAAGAGAATGGTGTCGTCGGCATAGATGCTTTGCATTGGAATTTGATTTCAAGGGCTATCTTCTTCAACACACCGTCATTTGCCGCCTTCGAATAGCAGTCTTTGGAGGACGTCCATTGCTATTATAAATAGCATCGGGATAAGCAGCCCCCTGCCAACCCCTCCGAGGTGCTCGATGGGGTGTCCTCGCCGGCCATTCAAGAGTATCTTCGACGAGGGCGGTGCTCAATAGCGCCTCGATCCAGCCGCACCATCTATCGCTGAACCCATGCGCTTGCAAAGTACCTCCAGCAGAAAAGGCCAAGAGAGGGTGTCGAATGCCTTGGATATGTCAAGCTTCAACAACAAATGGGGATTTTTCTTCCTTTGATCAAGATCTTTGCTTTCATTGCACGTACTTGTAGTTGTCATGGATAGAACGGCTTCGATGAATGCATTCGTTGCTTTGCTCACCATTTCATCCAAATCGAGGTTCTAGGCGGCGGAGAGCAACTTGAGATCAGCTTTGCAAAACTGCGAATCATCGTGATCGGCCGAAGTCCGATGGACAGCTTTGCACCAACCTTCTTTGGTAGTAGCACGATTAGTGCATTGTTCAGCGGTTCATGTTCCTGGTGTTCCCCAGCTCGGGACGCTGCATCGCCTCCATGAGCTCATCTCGATGACCGCCATGATGCTTTGTAGAAGGCTCCGGTGAAGCCGTCCGCCCCGGCGCCCTATCGCTCGCCAGCGAAAGCCTTGATTGCCGCCAAACTTCTTGGTATTTGAAATGCGTGTCCCGATCGTCCAGTTGAGATGGTGGAACCCGAGTGTCTCAAAGTTCGGGGTTCGTCCTCCGCTTGCCACCGAACCAAACACCCCGCAAAGTGTTTGTGTAGCGCCACTCCATGTCGCTATGGTCCTCGGTGATATGTCCGCTCGCCGCCAGGTCTTGGGATGTAGCTCCGTTGTTTCCCGCCTCGGAGATCGGTGAAAGTAAGTCGTGTTCGCATCTCCGCTTGATAGTCAAGCGAATACGAGACCGCCGCCTCGCCATTGTATGCGTTCCAACGAGGATAGGCCCAAGCACCTCATCTTTAGTTGCTTCCTCGAGACCGTTCTTCTGCCAAATGATAGCCGCCGGCGCTCTTGCACAGCCCTAGCCGGCACCACTCTACCGCCAATAGAAGCCGTGTTTTGATCTCGCCAATTCTTTTCTCGACCAGCTCTGTACCGGGCGCACCGTGTTCTGAGCATCGTGTCCAGCCCGTGCCAATGGGTTGCATGCCACCGTGGGTCGCTTCCACGCCTGGGCGATGAACTCGTCATAATCCTCACACTTTGGCCAAAACACCTCGAAATGGAACCGGGGCTTTCTCATCTGGGCCAAGTTTGTTTATAGAAGTAAAGCGTAGTGGTCGGAGGTCTCTGAACCCAGTCCATGTAGGTGCGCGTTAGGGAACAAGGTGTCCCAGTCTAAGGAGACAAGGACTCTGTCTAGACGGACGAGGGTCGGGTTTGCACGTTCGTTGCTCCAAGTGTAGGACCTCCCGTGGAGGTGGAGATCCTGCAGCTCCAGCATTACCACCGTTCGCCTGAATCTTCTCAGGTTTGCTCTGCCGACCCTATCATTGCTTTTGTCTGCTTCGTTGAGGATGAGGTTGAAGTCCCCTGTCAGCGCCCATGGTCCGTGGCATGCATCCCTGACGGCCTCTAGTTCTTCAAGGAAGAGAGCCTTGTCTCCGTCCTCCTGCGGACCGTATACGGTGGTTAGCCACCAACGTGACGGGCCTACGCCAGTGATGGCTGGCAGTTCGATGGAGACCGTAATGGAGTAGCAGCCAACCAGCACCTCAGAGATAGTTACATCAGGTTGGCGTCCTGCGATGAGGATGCCACCATGAGTTTCTGACGCCGGTAAGTAGGCAAACTCCGAAAACGCAATGCCCAACATCGACAGAACCATTGTATCAGTTATTACATCGAGCTTGGTTTCTTGAAGGCACACTATGGATGGCCTTACGTCATCAATCAGCGTACGCACTGCATCCCGCCTTGCTCGCGCGTTAAGGCCGCGCACATTCCATGACAATACAGTTGTGTTATCCATAGCAGCAGGACAACCGGTTGTTGTGGGGCCTAAGTTTAGGCCACCGCGGCGAGTGGCCGGCGAGTCGTCTTGCCGGCGCGTGTTGTGTTTGCCTGGAAGAGGTTGTCCAAGGCCTCGACCTCCTGATCCGTCATTTCCCTATTGAAGAAGGCATCGTAGTCGCGCCTTTCCCTAGAGGATGGTTGGGCGCTCGGGTGCGTGAAGCCCAACCTCTTCATGGCGATCACTTCTCCCCTCTTGGACACCGGTATGTGTCCCGACTGTTGCGCCGCGATGCGACGGCTTCGTGTCGGAATGGGTGCCTTCTTTGTCGGCGGCCTCTGCTTTGGCGGCGATTTGATGAGTGGTGTAGGCCGCTTCTTTTGGACGTCATTCGCGAACTTGGCTAGGCGATGGGCCGCCTCCGATGCGGTCGGCGTTGGGTCCCCGCCTGGCGTGGTGGCCTGGTTATCGAACGCCACTGCCGGGTTCGTG